AGCGCATGTGTTTGGACTGTGAAGGAAACTGGAGCACCTGGAGGAAACCCACACAAATGCAAACTCCATACAGAAACACCAACTGACCCAGCAGAGGCTTGAACCAGCGAGCTTCTTGCTGTGAGGCGACAGTACTACCTAATGTGCCTCTGTGTTACCTGGTACAGTGATTTATTGTAATGCATTTTCTAACCCACAAGTCCTACTCTACTGCACCCAACCGGGTCTGAGTTAGGATCGAACCGGCGATTCTTTGTATCAGAGTCAGTTGCTCTATCAAGGAGACTCAAGACCATTACCTTTAGCGTCTATTGCTGAAGCACCTTTAGAGGTCATAGGAGTGAGGTTTACCTGCACAGCACTTCGCTAGTTGGCCTCCGTTACAACAGCATGTCAGAATAATGCTGAATATAGGAAATATAGGACAATTATTCAACACAACCATAAACAGTGTCTAATGTTAAATGTATTTTTTGTATTATTTTAACGTGTATATTGTAAAGTTTGCGGAGTACAGTTGCAAGCAGATGTGTACATACACTCTAAAAAAAGAACATGTCTGCTGGTAAATCAAGCTGAACGTTTACTATTTTAGGTCTGTTAGGATTACCTAAATCATTTACATTTGCTAAATGCCAGAATAATGAGAGCATTTTTTTATGAATTTCTAGACAGTCAAAGGTTTACACACATTTCCTTGGTATGTTTTAGCTTTGCTTTTAAACTGTAGAACTTTGGTCAAATGTTTTGGGTCTCTTTCCACAAGCTTCTCACAATAGTTTGCAGGAATGTTGGCCCATTCCTCCTGACAGAATTGCTGTAACTGAGTCAGATTTGTAGGCTGTCTTGCTCGCACAAGCTTTTTCAACTCCGCCCACAAATGTTCTATAGGATTGAGATTAGGGCTTTGTGATGGCCACTCCAAAACATTCACCCTGTTGTCCTTAAAGCACATTTGAACTCATTTGGCAGTGTGCTTAGGGTCATGGTCTGTTCAGAAGACCCATTTGTGGGCAAGTTATAATGTCCTGGCTGATGTCTTGAGATGTTGCTTCAGCATTTCTCCATAATGTTCTTTCTTCATGATGCCATCTATGCTGTGAAGTGGACCAGTCCCTCCTGCAGCAGAACAGCCCCACAACATGATGCTGCCGCCCCCATACTGCACAGTTGGGATTGTGTTCTAGGCTTGTGCGCTTTCCCCTTTGTCCTCCAAATGTAACACTGCTCATTATGGCCAAACAGTTCAATCTTAGCTCCATCAGAGCACAGCACATGTCTCCAATATTACTCTTTTCCCAGTGTCATTCAGCTAATTGTAATCTGGCTTTGTTGTTGATTCTGGCTTGTTGATTTCCCCATGTTGTCACAGAAGGAAGCAGTGTGTTTGAGCTTTTCCTTCAATACTATTCTACAGTTGTGCCTCACATTAACTCAAATGTTGTCAATTAGCCAATCAGAAACTTCCAAAACCCTGACATCATCATCTGAGGTATTTCAGAGGCAGAATAATCTTACTGTGTGTAAACTTGACTATTAAGAAGAGTTATAACAGCTTCTCAACAAATCTCTCTCTCATTATTCTGCTATTAAGCAGAACAGAAACACATGTGATCATCCTCACTTACCTAAAAGAGAAAAAGTTTAGTCACATTAACGTCTAAATTCTTTTAAAATGGTTATTTGTCTTTTTAAACAGTGTATGTAAACCTATGCTATGTTTGTAATGAGGCAACATACACATGTAGACTGCTGAATAAGTGTTTAATACACATTTATCTATTATCATTAAGTTCTTATGATGATTCTTCTGAAGTTTAAGGATAATATAATATTTTGGTCAACATTTAGATGTGGTCATAATAGTAGTCAATGTTTTCTTGTACAATATATTGTTTCAAACTACTAGAATATCAATAAAAGTCACTTTGTTAAACTGCAGAGTTGAGTCTTTAACATCAGATGTTGACAGAGTAGAGATTAAGTTCCCATAATGCCATTCACAACAGTGAATTAACTGAACAAACGAATCACAACATATGTAAACTGTTCATTAACGAATATGTTAGTGTATTCTAATTCTGTTATCCTTCGTTTATGTCAGATCAAAAGTGACAGACATCTTCCTATTATGTTTAAGTTTTGTTCCCATTATTGTGAAACAGAAAGTCACAGATGCTGTTAGCAGGCTTGATGACATGCAATGCATTTTAAGAATAAACTACAACAATAATAATGTGAATCTTGCCGAAACAAAGTTCCGTTTGAGTTTGTTTCAGCACTTCAAAGTTAACCAAAAGCAAACTTTTGGGGAGGAGTTTGTTTTGGCTCCTAAACACCTCTGAGCTGCCATTGGTCCTTGGCAATTACACAGTCAGTGGGTGTGTGTTCTGTAACTCAGTCCTGTTTGAGGTGCGATTTCCTCCCCCTGATTAATTTCTCATTGTTTATTATGATTATCATTTTCTCATATGAAAACAGCATCCAAATCAACAACACTAGCCACATGAACACACTGGCGAGTGGAGTAGCAGAGCTGTACAGATGTATCCGCACCTGCATTATCACGCTTTCTACGAGTTTGCGCACGCGGCGGAGCCATTCAGTGTCTGTGTGCAGCAAATCGAACACAATTTAAAGAGGAAGAGATGATGCGGTGGCGATTCTTATGACAGTCATCATTGTATTTATGGGTACATGCGAGCATAGTGACACATTTACAACTTGCAGTGTACTGGCTGTTGGAGAGTTCGAACACTGTATACCGTCATTCAGCCATCTTGAACTTCTTTTGCCCTTAACGGAAGAACCAAAAGATGGTAAGTTTGTTTGTAGTGTACTGGACCATAATACTTTAATCCCTCAGTTGACAGATCAACAGTGGCAGACATGTTCTTCTCATGTTAAGGTTTTTGGCCTCGTAATGTTTTATTAAACACCATTACTTGCCCTGCCCACTGGAAAGATCTTTCTTCACTTCTGGTCACATGGAATGTCTTTAGGGTGGGGCTATCGGTGCTTTAGGGTGGAGATATGAGTAATTTAGGGTCGAACTATCAGTCCTTTAAGATGGAGCCATCGATGCTATAAGGTGAAGCTATCAGTTCTTCAGGGCAGAGCTATTAGTCATTTAGGCGGGACTAACAGTCCTTTAGGGCGGAGTTATTAGTCATTTAGGAAGGAGCTATTAGTCATTTAGGGTGGAGCTATCAGTCTATTAGGGAGGAACTATTCCCTTAGGAAGGAGCTATTAGTCATTTAGGGTGGAGCTAACAGTCCTCTACGGAGGGGCTGTCAGAGCTTACAGTAATTTAGGGCAGGGCTATCAGTCATTTAGGGCGGAGCTAATATCCTTTAGAATAGAGCTTTTAGTCCATTAGGGTGGGACTATCAGTCCTTTAGGGAGGAGCTATAAGTCCTTCAGGGCGGGGCTATCAGTACTTCAGGGTGGAGCTATCAGTCCATAAGGGTGGGACTATCAGTTCTTTAGGGAGGAGCTATTAGTTCATTTCGTGGGACTATCGGTTCTTTAGGAAGGAGCTAAAAGTCCATTAGGGTGGGACTATCGGTCCTTTAGGGAGGAGCTATCAGTCCATAAGGGTGGCACTATCAGTTTTTTAGGGAGGAGCTATTAGTTCATTAGGGTGGGACTATCAGTCCTTTAGGGAGGAGCTATTAGTCCATTAGGGTTGGACTATCGGTCCTATAGGGAGGAGCTATTGGTCCATTAGGGTGGGAGTATCGGTCCTATAGGGAGGAGCTATTAGTCCATTAGGGTAAGACTATCGGTTATTTAGGGAGGAGCTATTAGTCCATTAGGGTGGGACTATCGGTTCTTTAGGGAGGAGCTAAAAGTCCATTAGGGTGGGACTATCGGTCTTTTAGGGAGGAGCTATTAGTCCATTAAGGTGGGACTATCGGTCCTTTAGGGAGGAGCTATTAGTCCATTAGGGTGGGACTATCGGTACTATAGGGAGGAGCTATTAGTCCATTAGGGTGGGACTATCTGTCCTTTAGGGAGGAGCTTTTAGTACATTAGAGTGGGACTATCGGTTATTTAGGGAGGAGCTATTAGTCCATTAGGGTGGGACTATCGGTCCTTTAGGGAGGAGCTTTTAGTACATTAGGGTGGGACTATCGGTCCTTTAGGGAGGAGCTTTTAGTACATTAGGGTGGGACTATCGGTCCATTAGGGAGGAGCTATTAGTCCATTAGGGTGGGACTATCGGTCCTTTAGAGAGGAGCTATTGGTCCATTTAGGTGGGACTATCGGTCCTTTAGGGAGGAGCTATTAGTCCATTAGGGTGGGACTATCGGTCCTTTAGGGAGGAGCTATTAGTCCATTAAGGTGGGACTATCGGTCCTATAGGGAGGAGCTATTGGTCCATTAGGGTGGGAGTATCGGTCCTATAGGGAGGAGCTTTTAGTCCATTAGGGTAAGACTATCGGTTATTTAGGGAGGAGCTATTAGTCCATTAGGGTGGGACTATCGGTTCTTTAGGGAGGAGCTAAAAGTCCATTAGGGTGGGACTATCGGTCCTTTAGGGAGGAGCTATTAGTCCATTAAGGTGGGACTATCGGTCCTTTAGAGAGGAGCTATTGGTCCATTTAGGTGGGACTATCGGTCCTTTAGGGAGGAGCTATTAGTCCATTAGGGTGGGACTATCGGTCCTTTAGGGAGGAGCTATTAGTCCATTAAGGTGGGACTATCGGTCCTTTAGGGAGGAGCTATTGGTCCATTAGGGTGGGAGTATCGGTCCTATAGGGAGGAGCTATTAGTCCATTAGGGTAAGACTATCGGTTATTTAGGGCGGAGCTATTAGTCCATTAGGGTGGGACTATCGGTTATTTAGGGAGGAGCTATTAGTCCATTAGGGTGGGACTATCGGTCCTTTAGGGAGGAGCTATTAGTCCATTAAGGTGGGACTATCGGTCCTTTAGGGAGGAGCTATTAGTCCATTTAGGTGGGACTATCGGTCCTTTAGGGAGGAGCTATTGGTCCATTTAGGTGGGACTATCGGTCCTTTAGGGAGGAGCTATTAGTCCATTAAGGTGGGACTATCGGTCCTTTAGGGAGGAGCTATTAGTCCATTAGGGTGGAGCTATCATCCTTTAGGATCAAGCTATCAGTCATTTAGGTTGGGGTTATCAGTCCATTAGGGCAAGGCTATCGGTCCTTTAGGGCAGGGCTATCGTTGCCTTAGGTTGGGGTTATCAGTTCTTTAAGGTGGGGCTATCTGTCCATTAGGGTGAGACTATCAGTCCTTTAGGTCGGAGCTATCAATCCTTTGGGGCAGGACTATCAGTCCTTTAGGGAGGGGCTATTAGAGCTATCAGCCATTCAGGGCAGGGCTATCAGCCCATTAGGGAAGAGCTTTCAGTAACTTATGGCAGGGCTATCAGTCATTTAGAGAATAGCTATCAGTCCTTTAAGGTGGGACTATCAGTCCTTCAAGAAGGCGCTATCAATCATTAAGGTTGGAGCTGTCAGTCCTTTAGGGTGGAGCTGATATCCTTTAGGATAGAGCAATTAGTCCATTAGGGTGAGATTATCAGTCCTTTAGGGAGGAGCTATCAGTCCTTTAGAGTGGGGCTATTGTTCCCTTTTGGCAGTGCTATCGGTCCTTTTGGGCAGGGCTATCGGCCCCTTGGGTCGGGGCTATCAGTCCTTTTTGGGAGGAGCTATCAGTTCTTTAAGGTGGGGCTATCGGTCCCTAGCTATTGGCCACTAGCTATTGGTAAGGTGGGGCTATCAGGCCTTCAAGGCGGGGCTATCACAGCGTGTCTCATTTCTGTCCTGCTTTTGTCCATTTGTCAAACATCCATCATTTTATTAGCAGCACTCTTCTTCCAAAGATCTATTCGGTTTAAAAATCATTCAATGTAATGGCAACCTGGAATATTCCTTTAAAAATGCAGGCACTTAAATCCTCTTTTTTTTTTTACACACACCAGTTTCAGCAGGTGATTGCAGCCTATCTGTGCGTGCTGGCTGTGTGGTCTGTCAGGGGAATAGTGGTGCTCTGCCGTGGGCACAGGATCTTGAAGAAAGCCCTGCGGAAGCTGCTGTGGCACAGCGGGTACAGGAACGGGTTGATGGCGGAGTTGAGCCACAGCAGCCAGAACGTCACCTCGTACCAATGCTGGGACACACAGTCGCCTCTGCACGCCGCCCGCACGATCATCAGAAGCGTATACGGCGCCCAGCACACCGCAAACACACACACGATGATAGCTAAAGACTTGGCGATCTTCTTGTCTTGTCTTAAACGTGAGCGCTGAACACATCGCATCGAGAGACCGTCGCTTTCCGGGCGCTTTTCTCCATCTGTTGTGCTTTTATTTTTCAGCGCTAAAGAGTTCCAGCACATTCTGGTACTCATATGTGTCCTGTCTCTGTATAGAGTCGCAGAGTTGTGGCATTTAGATTCGCTCCTGTTGCCGAGTCTCCTCCGGCGGATGTTGATGTAGATGCTGATGTTGAAGAACGCCACGGATAAAAAAGGCACGAAGAACTCGATCACTGAAGCTGAGAGGAGGAAATACCAGGTGTAGTAAAACTCTGCGAAGCACTCGTCATCCGGCACGCGGCTCCGGCCTGTCAGCTGCTCCCAGAATAAGATGGACGGTCCGTAGAGGAGGAAGGCCAGAATCCAGACCACTGCGATCTTTAATACTGCAAAGTGCGTCATGCCTTGTTTGGCGCGATAAGACACCTGATATCAGGAAAGAAGCAAAAGAAAAAAATTAGGTTTTTTTGATGAACGCAGAAGTGCATGTTTACAGTTATAAAACCACATACACCAACGATCACCTGAGGCAAAATTTATGAAGCCACGTCAGTCTCAAAAATAATACATAATAATATAATAATAATACAAAATAAAATCCAACTTGTAAACACAAGATTCGTGAACTCACTTTGTGGATTTTTGAATCGTGTTTTAAATTTTAATGAACTGGATTTTGTATATGTATTATTTTTGAGACTGAACTGGCTCCATAAAAATTGTGCAAAAAATAGGAGACAAATATATACCACAGGCAACATCTTTATGCATGATATAAGCAAAGAAAATAATTCGACAAACTTGAAAGTTAGATTGTGCAGCTGTTTTTGAAACCTGGTTTAGGAGTTTAAGTTATGTGTTGACCATGGAAGAATTGAGATATAGATGGGCAAACTATGGAGCCAGATCAGTCTCAAAAATAATACATTTAGAGAATCGGATTCGTAAGTTCAAAACACGATTCATACAGACACAAATCCAATTCATAAATTTAAAACACGATTAGTAAATACACAAATCTAATTTGTAAGTTCAAAACACAATTCTTAAAGACACAAATCCAATTCGTAAATTCAAAACACGATTAGTAAAGACACAAATCTAATTTGTAAGTTCAAAACACGATTCGTAAAGACACAAATCCAATTCGTAAATTCAAAACACGATTAGTAAAGACACAAATCCAATTCGTAAATTCAAAACGCGATTAGTAAAGACACAAATCCAATTCTTATATTCAAAACACGATTCATAAAGACACAAATCCAATTCTTATATTCAAAACACGATTCATAAAGACACAAATCCAATTCGTAAATTCAAAACACCATTAAAAAATACTAAATGTAAATTCGTAAATTCTAAACAGTTTGTAAATACACAAATCCAATTCATAAATGTCAAAATGGAATTCGAAAATTCTTAAATACAGAAATCCATTTCGTAAATTGAAATCAAAGTGAGTTCACACATTGTGTGTTTACAAGTTGGAATTTATTTTGTAAATTAATTATTTTTGAGATTTATTTTTTTTAAATCTAGAATTCAATAAGGCTTTATATTAGTGATTTTTGGGCTGGATTGATTTGGTGTAAGTTGCGTTGTGGAGCCTATATTTAATATGTTTTTTCTTAGGGGCAGTACGGTAGCTTAGTGGTTAGCATAGGGGAATTGGGGTAAGCTAAAAGCAATAGGGGAATTGGGTAAGCTAAATTGGCCGTAGTGTATGTGTGAGAATGAGAGTGTATGGGTGTTTCCTAGTGATGTTTTGCAGCTGGAAGGGCATATTCTGGATTAATTGGCGGTTCATTCCACTGTTGCAATCCCTGATTAATAAAGGGACTAATATTTCTTTCATTTTTTTATATTCATACTATATAAAACAAATGCTTATTTCACTGTGATCGTTATGCAAAGATCACACAACAGGCTGTTGGGTTTATTCTTCAGTAGCCTTTCGTTAATTATGTATTTTATAAACGAATTGTTTATAAGGACTATTGATAGCTACAATTCTCAGAATGGAAAAGGATTGGGTGATTTGTTAGTTGAATACATCAAATTCAAGGCTTGATTGTGATTATGGAAGGGTAATTTATTAATCACAATTGATTATTAATTTAAATGTTCATTGATCACTGGATTTTGTCGAAAATGAGATCCCTAGTTCTCAGCTAATATAACACATTTTTACCATTTAAACGTGTACAGTAGTTACTACATTTTGACTCATTGATCCAACCAGTTAGTTAATAGTTTATTAAGCTAGTAGTGTTAGTTAATAGTTTATTAAGCTAGTAGTGTTAGTTAATAGTTTATTAAGCTAGTAGTGTTCGTTAATAGTTTATTAAGCTAGTAGTGTTAGTTAATAGTTTATTAAGCTAGTAGTGTTAGTTAATAGTTTATTAAGCTAGTAGTGTTAGTTAATAGTTTATTAAGCTAGTAGTGTTCGTTGATAGTTTATTAATACTGTGAATTCTGACCCAAACTATTGTTTTTGTACAGTATATTTGACTGCTCTACTATTAAAAATAAACTGCTGGTATAAATAATGTCAAGACATCACCTGGTGTACTGATTTTAGCTCAGTGCCAAAAAAAAAAAAAAAGCACAGGAGTGTGTTCAGACAAACACTTTCTTCTGCTGGCATACACACTTTGAGTGTCGTAGTGTTGCCAATGACCCAACAAATCTTTCTTCCTGCACTGGCTTTGATTGAAGCTGAAGCCGCGGTCTGCGAGATCAAACATGGCTGTGGCGCAGATTAAAGGCAGACGTTAGGTTTTGTGATTTTTATCCTCGTATCGTTGCTCTGATGTTAAGAGCTCGCGTGGGAAAACAAAACAAGTTTCAAGGATGCTTTCTGACCCGAACATCAGAGAGCGCTTTGAAGTAAATATTCCACACTCTCCGGTGCTTTATATCTATATATTTACCTGTGCATCCCAGCGTGTGTCTGTAGTGCAGAGTTAGACTTAAACCCATAAATAAAAGCAGATTAGCTGCATTTGGGGAGATCAGCTCATGTCTTATTCGCTTAATTCATTTCAGAATTAAATCAAACACAAGCTTGCAGTCTAAAAAACGCCAGTCGTAAGTTACTTTATAACTGTAATAGATTACAGACTAGTAAAATTGTAATTTGATTACGTCACCTATTACTTGAAAGGTGCCGTTCCAGATCAGAGAATTTTGAATTTTTGCCTTCATTTTTTTTAAACAGCTATGGGACTAACAAAAAATATATAAATATTATATATATAATTTTGCTTTAGAAACTGCCTTAATCCTTCATGCATGGAATAGATTCAACAAGGTATACTGGAAATACTCCTCAGAGATTTTGGTCCATATTGATATGATAACTGCAGATTTTTCGGCTGCACATCCATGATATGAATCTCTCAAATCACCACATC